ATATGTATCATTCGTATAAAATATTTGATATTAACAACTGATGTTAAGTTAAATTTTATAAAATTTTATATATCATTCGTATAAAAGATTTGATATAATAACTAGTGCTGAATTAAATTCCATAAATTAAGAATATAATTCAAGAATATAATACTATCTTTAATTTTTATTGATAAAATTAAAGGATTTTTACTATTAAATAATAATGTAAAGAAAATGAAGGGCATATAAGAGTCAAATTTAAAATCTTAACATATAAAATATAAAACGTTTAATTACATTCGTAAAATGTGAGTTATGAATATTATAATATACATATATTACATGTTTCGGTATCATGTGCCGATTGTGCCATTCCTCAGATATTTTGAATAGATGCAGTAACAATAGATTATTAAATATTAGAATTGACGCAGAGAAAATCGAGATATATAAGATAAAGCCTAATAACTGACACGTAGAGAGAACGAAATTGCTCGCAAACGGTTGAAAGGTTGGTTGTTCAAGAGAATTCCCAAATGTTCTATTAGGATAGAATTATAAATTAAAATAAATAGAAACAATATCGTCACTCTTCGAAATGGCAATACAATTATCCTTTGCATAATTTGTATCTGATGCTCGTCAAAATGATCAAGATAGTCAATGTAATTAAATAATAAGTACTAGTAAAAAGTATAGTCATTGGAAATAAAAATATCTAAACTGTCAGTTATGAATTAAAGCTAAAAATGTGTAAAGATATATAAAATGTTACACGAGATTTAAAATTTTACTGTATGACGGTTATTACGATAGTCTAACGCTGACAGAGAGAAGCTTATAGTTAAAACTTAGTGCTGCAACATGTCTTGTTTACGATTGATATGTAAGCCTTGTGAAAGTCTTCTGTATCTCTCTGTAAATTAATGCTGTATTTCTGTTTATTGATATTGAGCATCTCTGAAATCAAACGTTCTTTATAGCAAAGTTCCTCATCTACAATTTTAATATTCTCCCAGTCAAAATCATGCAATCTGTGTTCAAATTATCACAGAACGAGCAGACGTATTCCAAAGAATGTGATGTTCGGCAATTCTAGTTTTTTTTTTTTTTTTAATTGTTGCCTATCTGTCCCACATATGAAGTATCACAATTTTTGCACATGATTTTATAGATTACATTGCTCTTAGATAAATGAGGGAGGAGATCTTTTTGGACTTTAATAAATTTCTGTAATTTAATTGAAACTATAAAAGGAACCTTGATGTCTCTACTGTTAAATTGGTTGAATTTTTCCATAACAGAAGGGATGAACGGAACTGTGAACCACGAGGTCTGATCGATTGAATTATCAGTTGGAAGGATCTTGCACTTCTGTTTTTCGTCGCAGAAAAATCTTTCGAATTCTTTTATTAATAGTATCAAAAATGAATTTGAGCGGATAGTCATTCCCAAGTAAGATGTTGATTATAAATTTTAAGTTTTCTATGTGATTTACGTCATCCGATAATAAAAATATTTCGTCTACTAGGTCTATAATGGTATCTCTCTTTTGAGATATCGGATGATTGGAATAAAAATTCAAATATCTGCCAGAAAAACTTTGCTTATGATACCAATTAAATGTTAAGAATTTTTCTTTTTTCTCAATGGTGACATCTAAAAAATTTAATGAATCGTCTCCAACCTCTAAGTGAACTGCAGACGAGGATAGAACGAATTAAAACATTTAAGTAAAGAATCAATCAATTTGAGATGACGGAACCGCAGTGTATAAATCGTCCACATAATAAAAAGGTAACTGGTTATTGAAAGACAACAATGCATTACATTCTAATTTTTGCAGCACCAAGTCAGCAATGGTGAGTGACAACGGAGAGCCCATGGGTGTGTCAAAGCTCTGTTTATATATAGAGGAAAGCCTCCTATTATGAAATAGGCGCCTAATATAAGATAACGGTGTTTCTGCTAAAGTAATAAACGCTATCTATTGGTTCCACCACGAATTTATTGGATTGAAAATTATTTAGTAGAAAATTCATTATTAGATCATGCCTGTAGTCATTGTAAAACAAGATTTTAGAATTTGGATATCTTCAAATTTCATTGAGATGAGCATTTAAACCTTGTTTATTATTTAATAAATAAATATTTAGCAATGAATTCTTTATGTAGTGTTGATGATCGTAAAATCGTAAGGCGTGGAAATCGTAATATGAGATACCCAGGATATTCCTAATATATGAAATAATCCATGCTCCTATGTTATAGTGAAAATCGTTGCTAAAGTATAAATATTATTGTACAATAATAAAAAAGATAACTGGAATGAACGTCGAATGCCTATATCTGCGATACTTGATTCCAACTACCTAAAAATCGAGTTCTAGGTATAATCTATCGCATGCTCATTTTTCGCGCACGCTGACTATGTTTGTTTGTATTTTAGAAACATTAAATAAAGTTTTTTAATTGCTACACTAATATATTTTGCGTTTTACTCGATTTCTCGGGGTATCTCATATTAGGAGCACAATTTTTTAACTTTGCAATTTGCTTACTTTTTTTACATTTCTTTAATTAAAAAAAAAATGGAATTTGAATTAAATTTTATATAATGTTATGTTAAAGCTTATTAAATTTCCTTCAAAATGACCTATTTTTAAAATTCTGCCTATAGAATTCTAGTTTATTTACTCAAAATGAACTCCGTATCTCATAATAGGGACTTTTCCTCTAATATTGTTAAATGTAAAAAAATGTGGAGTCTAGAACGAAACGAATTGCTGTCAAAAATTCAACCCTCGGTAAATCACATTTATTTGAGCAATTTTCTCTCTAAGTGTTAATTATCGGGCCTCACGGCTTACAAGTTACAGCACCGGCATTAGCATTATCCAAGGTGTCCGATCAACGGTTAAAATCTCTTAAATGTTGTTTAGAATCATGATCTAGATAACATTTCAGATCAAGATCAAGATTGGAGATTGTTCCTCTTATCTTCATTTTTGCACTAAAAATTATATTTCTATGTAAACATGAAAATAAGAGATACAACCTCTAATGGCCTTGATCTTGACAAATATTATCCAGGTCATGATCCTGAACAACATTCAAGACGTTTTAGCCGTCGGTCGGACAGCTTGAATAATGCTAATGCTGGCTTTATAACTCGAAAAGTACTTAATAAAAATTAACTTAATTAAAGCGTTTTGTCTTAATTAAAGCGAAAGCTCTCGAGATGATCTACAAGAATGTGCAATAAAAAGTAGGAGTTCCATTTAAGAAATTGATTGTTGTTCAAGTAACTATTCAAGGTCAAACTAATGATATCATTTTATGTCCCCCTAAAAGTTATATAACTTTTATCTGAAACATTTTTTTCTAAGATCAAAAATAAAAAATAAGTGTTCAGAAAGGTTATGAATTAAAAATAACAAAGTAAATGTGAAAATACAAGAAATAAATATAATTATCATGATTTAAAGCAAATAACAAATAACAGACGTCGTTTTGAGCTTGATCGGGGTCATCTTCAATGTTACATAAACAAAATTGAATTAAAATAAAGTACTTAAATTAAATAGGTCATAACTTAGCCCGTGTGAATTAAAATACATTATATAACATGGTTCAATTATATTTATATCTTCGATAATTATATTTATTTCTTGTATTTACACATTTACTTTGTTGTTTTTTGGTTCATAGCCTTTCTAAATACTTATTTTTAAAAATAACAAAATTATTTGGAATGGAACATTAAAATGGGACATTCTGTATACCATATGTATTATATGCGTGCGTGCGTGCGTGCGTGCGTGCGTGCGTGCGTGCGTGCGTGCGTGCGTGCGTGCGTGCGTGCGTGCGTGCGTGCGTGCGTGTACAACCGCGCCGAATTGGTTTTCCAGACTTATAAACGCAATTAAACTACTGTAGTAATTACATTGTCAAGTAATTTTAATAATTTGATGCTTAATCAAGCATTCTATTAGAAAGATGATAACATACTGAAAAATGCGTATAATTTCATTTTCACCCGATTTCCTTTTATTACATATTAAGTTATAAATAAATGGAGATCGATGTCAAATAGATCGCTTTATCATTATTATCTTCTAGCTTTGTTAACAAATGTAGTGTATATTTTTGTTTCCGTTCGATCTACTTTTGTTATATATTATATTAAATTATAAACAAACGGAGATTGAGATCGAATAAATCGCTTTGTCATTATCATTTTCTATGTTAGTTATATTAGCGTATAATTTTGTTTCCTCTTTTTGTTAAATATTAAGTTATGTTATGTAGATATAAAAAGTGCAAAATGCAAAGAATGGCTACGTTCGATTGGCAGTGTTTCCGAAACCATGCAGTACTAAACCGCTTTTTGCACCAATGTATTAGCGCATTCTCGCGCCAAAACGTCCAACAGTACATTCTGGCTGGACGTTGAACATGAACAACATAATGGACGAGTTCAAAACGACAAGCGGCTAGGCATGCTTACTGAAAAATTTAATATGATTAATTGGATCTTTAAGTAACAATCAATTATGCTCATTTGCTCGGCGAGCAGGTTTAGCCGCTTTGGTAACTTTAACGCGTCCAATGATAATGACAATAACGACGACGTATCTTTAGAAGTTTTACATCGAGATTTTGCGTCGCAATATCTCTGCTCGTAGGGCACGTAGAACAAAAAGCACTTTTATTACACAATTCGAGTGGAAGCTATCGATTGAGCGTACGTTGAACTTGATCGATTCAACCGTTATTGAGATCCAATAATCTCGATTCTTCGCAACTCATAGTCTCGCGTAAAGAAACACGGTAGTGTCGCTGCGCTTGTCTAGCACCGATACACTATCGTGCCTCCTAATATTTTATATTCAAAAATTACGTTCCTTTTACAAAAATTATTTTATTAGTAATATTTTAACGACTGGCTGATAAAACTTGTCGAAGGTTAATCAGGATCATGACGAACCAAAAATATGAAAATAAAAAATAAAATATTACTCGAATTAATAACTTGTTAGAAGTTTATTCGGTAACTATATCGAATAAAAGACCTCCGCTTCGATGACCTTGATTTTAACACTTGATATTATCAAAATCCTGATTCAGGATTCGGGGTTTTTTATTCGATATATGTACAATAGTTTACCGAATAAACTTCTAACAAGTTATTAATTCGAGTGATATTTTATTTTTTATTTTCATATTTTTTAAAAATTTATGAAATGTATTTTATTAATGAACATTATGTAATTAAATATAATTAACACATATTTTGTGTAACGAATTGTAAAATAAGATCAGAATTAAATTTTCATATTTGATTTAAGGCATGGCCTGATCACGGTGTTCCATCAGATCCTGGTTGTGTACTGAACTTTTTACATGATGTAAATGCCAGGCAAGAATCAATTGCGGCATCTTTGGTTCCAAAAGATCAGGATGAACCATGCATAGGACCAATTCTTGTTCATTGTAGTGCTGGAATTGGCCGGACTGGCACATTTATCGTTATCGACATGATTTTAGATCAAATTAAACGCCATGGTAAGTGTAGGGACAGTTAACCTTCGACGCGCCGAAAGCGAACGAGACAACGAGCCATCCTTCTCGTTTTAGTCGCGTGTTTTAATCGAAAATGCTTTTTCGGTAATCTCGGCCGCTCTCGGTGTATATCAGTAAGGGGCAAAGGGCATTCTAAATAACATATAAGTTCTAATAAATTGTAGTAATAATATATCCCTTCCATTAATCCAGAATAGTATAAATCATGTCAAAACGCAACAGTTTACGAGATATTGAATTGTTTATGATTTTTTATGAGCGTTATATATCTCCTTTATAAACTCGAATAATAAGAAGTTGGTTGTGTGGTCGAGCTCATAAGACGAGATTGGAAGATCCCAAGATCTGGAGATCCAAAGAAATGAATAAGAAAGAAAACTCATAATAATTTATAATATTTTTATGATTTCTCTGTCTTATTATTCACATGTGAACTAATGATAATAATATTATAAATTATTATAATAATATTAAAATACAATTATAAATAATTTGTTATTTGTCAATTGGAAAGCGAAATGGGTTTTTTTTCTACAGTTGTTGTTTTAAAACTTGATGAAGACTTACAATTAGTACAGTCGAAACGTTTCCTATGAATTTATTGATGAAAAACTAGTTTAATTTCTTAATGTATATGTTTTAATAAATTAGTTTATATTTAAAGATCCAATAAACGTTATTCGTGTATTTTGATCTTTCTAATTATTAATTTTTGCTTAGCCATCTCGAGCTATAAAATCTTACATATTTTAAAATAATTTTTCATTTGTCAATTGGAAAGTGAAATGGGTTTCTTTTCTATAGTTGTTACTTTAAAATCTCATACATGAATTATTTCAAAAATTATATGAAAATATATTTGACCTAATAACATTTATTACTAACTTGATTATTTATTTCGGAAAAGAAACTGAAAAGAAGGCAAAAAAAGCAGGATTCGATCTTGGGATCTCCAGCGTTCCAATCTCGTATTTCATTCGACCACACGAACTTCTTGCTATTCGAGCTTATGAAAGAGGTATATAACGCGCATGAAAAATCATAATCAAATATCTCGTAAACTGTCGAGTTTTGACATGATGTATACTATTCTGAATTAATGGGAGAGGTATATTATTACTACAATTTATTAAAACTTATTGTTATGTTATTTAGAATTCCTCTCGCCCTTTGTTGTAATACGCCGAGCGGCCGAGATTGCCAAGAAAGCATTTTCGATCGTTAGAAACAAGCGACTAGAGCGAGAAGGACGGCTCACTATCTCGTTTACTGTCGGCGCGCTGAAAGCGAGCACATGCATGTACATGAGTTCGTGTGTACATGCTTGTGTGTGTTTTAAAGCGATCTTGTCATTTAAATTTATTTTTATCTACAAATGGCATGTAATATAAATTAAGGTCTCATTCTTCGCTTCTAACGTCACAATTCCAATATGGCCTCGGTGATTACTCAGAATTACTCAGGAGCTTTAAGGTGATTGTATCGCAAAATGACTTTTCTTAAGATTTGTATTTAGCTTTTACTATTTTAAGATAATGATATTGTCTATACATACGTATAGGGAGAGGGGAGGGGGAGAGTAACCAGGCATGTTCAAAAGATAATTGCATTTGAAGTTAGTTTGAACATGTGCTAGACAAGAAGCAACAATACAGTTTCAATTATGCAAAAGTGGTATTTAGAAATTCGCTCAAAGACTAAAGAACTATAGATAAATATAATACAAATCTCCTAAATTGAAAAAAATGGGGGGGGTAACCAGGCAAATATTAATTATAAAACCTTAGAAAGTTACTACTTCACTAATATTCACTTATTAACTCTCAAATACCGACGCACAGTGGGGAAATAAAAATTACTGTTCAAAAATTGCGATCTACAACAATTTTTAAACAGCAATTTTTTTTCCCACTGAATGGCATCCTCGTGCGCTGGCGCTTCAGACGATTACCCCCCCCCCCCC